AAAAAAACCTCAAGGTTGTGAGAGCTTCAGCAGAGGATCTCCTCCAATACGTGGGATTGTAGACGACGAGTTCCGTAAAGTGCATGATTTGTAGTTATAAGAACTAATTGATATTCCCACTTCTGACCTGGTTTTCTTTAGGTTGGGTACAGGGTGAAGGAAGTTCGTTCTAGTCACCTCAAAATAATCAAAATTCAAAGCTATGTACCACCCAGAAATCAGTTTAGATCCATAAAGGATACTGTGGTTCTTGGAAGTGCCAGCACACAAAATAATGCATTTATTCCTGATTGCAGACTCATTATTTTTAAAATATGCACTTTTACAATCAGACTTGAAAATTTTCCTTGAGGGCAGTGTCTGGTTCTCATGGCATGCTTTCATGGGCAGCCCAAAATTATGGAAATTTGATCTGGTGTAATGGAGCTGCAGATTCTCCAAAAATGAGGATTTCTCATCTTAGGGACTCTTGTAAAATACAATTTTTTTGAACGATAACGGAAAATTAAAGGAATTGAGCTCTTACTTCTTTACAATTAATTTTTAACCCTAAATCAAGACATTCGCGTTCCTTATACTGTGTACTCAATGTGATGGGAAGATGGATTGTTCCAGAAAGAGAACCACCACGGTGGCTTAGCTTTACGATCACCGAAGTGACCTTGTATGAACACCATTGGGTTGGGAACCGTGTAACTGGGTACTTTTCTGAGTATTTCAGCTATTTACCCTGAAGTGTAACAACTTGTTTTTCATAAGGCCAGGTATCTGAGTTCTATGGTCAGTATAGAACTGAACAAGTGCTTCTTGTTTTTTTTGTAAGAAAAAGGTAAACATGTTTACCTGAGATACACTCCATTACCTAGTTGCCAACATAATATTTCTGTTCCACCAAGGGGTCTGTGGTAGGCATTATTTGCTCTATGAATTAGGTATTAAAGTGGGTAGGCAATCCGGTGGGAACCCCAAAATCTGTGAGCAAGATTCTACCATGGGCAGTAATTCCACATGGACTACTGAAGGGAATATACAAACGACAGCGGGCACCAGTTGTGAACAGTTTTCAAAAAAAAACCTAACTCAGGCTATTTTCAGGTGGCCAAACTGAAATGAATGCATTTTTCACCAAATTTCTATTTAGGCCTCCATGAAAGCTTTCGTGAATCCCGCGTTTTTTTTTTCAGATTTTCTTTTCCTTTTCTAAGTCATTACCGGCTAGGTAGGTAATTGAACGTATCCAACGGTAGCGTGGAAAAGGCTACACATAACTGGCTTTGTTCGTATTCCATACTATTATCTATACAATGGCCAATCGCTTGTTCATTCGACGAATCGCTATTTTCACGATTATATTTATTTAGGCGGTACAGGAATGGAAAGCAGCGTAACACAGCGCTCAAACATTCAGCTTGTATACCAGTCAATTATTTGGGCATAGGATCGCCCGCAGAATTACCGGTAGGTTTATAGTTATACTATTTTCATTTTTTTCCTCATGAGCCGTTTGTTATTTTTTTTACTAAACTCCTATGTGCTACGTCTGATCAACCATTTCAGACCATACCTGGATCTTCATCTTTAATTGTGGAATTCCGAGTTAAGATCTAGAGATTAATCCCCTCTCGGCGGCGGTAGTTCAGTGGCAAGGGGCGCACCATCACATACACATGGTCTTTAGAACATATTCCGAGTTTCAAAGACAACCGAGCCTTCCACTTTGCCAGGTCGGTAAACTAGTTTCAGATTCGTCTGAGGGGTAAAAGCACTTATTTATACATGGGTAGCCACTCCAAGTCATTGTATGGACCTGCATGCATTCAAACCCACTGAGATTCTGGATGGAAAGCGAATGCAGGGCGCATTCCAAATAGTGGATTGATTGGCGCTTAAGACTTTATCACTTTACCCTGATAATCAGTTGTTGAATCCTGTCTAAAATGGACTTTGACCACTAAGAAAAACTTTTTTTTTTGAAATTCATCATACTACCATCGTACTATTCATCATACTTACCTGGAATGCGACTCAGTAAGCGGCCTGCAGAGGTGCATCAGTTCGTAGACATGATTCAATGGATTGGTATTTTCGAATGTTCTAGAAGGAGAACACGTTGTGAGTGTTCGGTAAGGTATGGGAAACAGATCAGGGATGTATGGGCTGAGAACCTTCCAAGAGGTGTTTCAAAAAAAAGCTTACTATGCTCTGTCTGTGCTCAGGTTCCTAATTGCAACCTTTTCTGGGTACCAGTCGACCATGACAGCATCATACGCCATCTCCCTGGATAATCGCTGAATATTTCTGGTCATTCCCTTCTTATTAGTCATTCCCTTCTCTATTTCCCCTTCTTATCCCTGTTGTTGAGTTGGTAATGACATAATATAAATGAATTGAAACTGAAAGAGCCTGTAATCAAGGATTGTCTGTGTTCGCGCCCGATTCTCACTACAAGCACTGCTGGTGTCACGCGAGTCACTGTCACACCCTTCCCTGTAGGGTGCGAGCGCCGTTCGGGTATAAGGTACCACAGCCGTGCTCGAAATGTATAAGCGTTTTAAGGCTGATTTGGTGATGGGCCCTTTTTTTGCAGATGGCAGTGAGAATAACTCTACCTCACTGTAAATGATCGTAAGCCATCGATAGACGATAATTACTTTTGATGTGATTCTACTATTAGTTCATTTGTTCCTATATTTCACACTTACTGCTGCATTCTGCTACATTCCTCCGTGCGCGGCGTCCCTCTCGCCGCGACGCGACAGTTTCGTTCCTTCTGCACCACCACCGGAATTTCGCGAAGTACCAGGCGAGTGTTTGATAGCAGTCCCGTTTATTAACGTGTTAGGAACGTGTCCACAGTACTACCAAAAAGCGTCGACGCCAACCAATCGATAGGGCGCCAAATTCAAATCTGATCTGTACATTGCACGCTTCAACCACACACTATCACCAACGTGGATTGCTTAGGCTTGAGAAGGGGTGAAGGGGGTCGGCACCATCCGGACCTAACGTCTCACACTCTAGAGGATCCTTATCAAAATGACAGTGCTATTTGATGTTGCACTACTGGTATTCTACCGAGGAATAAGTCGGAATGGTGAAGAACATGATAGAAACTGATCAGATGAAAATGTACTATGGCATATTAATAATAATAACATGAGAGGGTAATTAAACGACAGACTCCGCTTTGCTTTTTTTCAGGGTAATAAAAAATGAAATTTTTTTTGAACAAACAATCCGCTTTGGCATTTATCCAGACACCCAATTTCCATTTAGAGCTGTAGTGTGAATTTAATGCTATTTTAATACGTACCAGCCCAGATATTAATAAACACAGCCATTCAATATTGGTTTTATCCCCTAACATCTATAGGGAAGCTCGGTTGGCCGATGAGGTATCGATCTTCGATTTGATCTCTGTTTAAACGATGCGGCGTCATTCTACCCTACCCATACTCTACCTCACCTTCAATTTTTCGTTTACATTCATTTTATTTTGAACATTAAATTGATTTTCCTTACTTTTACTGCTGTGCTTTATTCGAAAGTTTTCTTACGTTGTTCTACCTTTGTAGCCGTTCGGGTTGATTGGGAAACTTGTTTCGCACAAAACCGATTTTACATTTCCCCAAATAGGTACGACGGTGTACATACTACTGATTATAAAGGAACTGTTATTGAATTTGTGGCTTCTCCAATTAGATATTGGCTCCATCTGAGTCATCACACAAATCAATCCATTCATTTAGCACAAAGGAATGTGTTGAGCCAGCTCACAACACGCTATTCCACAATACAGCAGCCCCTTTGTCATGGGTGTGTCGAAAGGTATTACTGAAGTTTGATAATGAAAGGATAAGACCGGGTACTTACTGCTGGGGGAATTGGTTTTACGATTGAGCTAGCTATTTTTGGAAAACGTGTCTATGTACTACAAGTGGAATCACTGAGCCTTAGAGGGATGCCCTAAATCGGACGGATCAGCTGAGTATTTCT